ATTAGTGATATTGAGCATTTTTTATGTTTGTTGGCCATTTCTATGTCTTCTTTTGCCAAATATCTGTTCATGTCCTTTGCCCACTTTTTAATGGGGTTGTTTTTTCTTTTTGAGTTGTTTGAGTTCCTCGCAGATTCTAGATATTAGCTCTTTGTCACATGCACAGTGTGTAATATTTTTTTTCATGCTGTAGGTTGTCTGTTTACTTTGTTCATTGTTTATTTTGCTGTGTAGAAGCTTTTTAGTTTAATTAAGTACCATTTGTCTATTTTTGCTTTTGTGGCATTTGCTACTACATAGTTTTAATGGTTTCTTTGGCTGCCTACATTGCTCCTGCTTCCTTGGACTTTTTCTTTTCCTGTTTGTTTTGGTGTCTGTCATTCTGGTGATTCTTGGCTGGCTGTTCATGTTTTGAAGTGGAACTGCTAAACAGCTGCCAAGTGGCCAGGCTGGACTTGTTGAATGATAGACTTACAGTGGGCAATTGGATGCAGCCCTTGCCATTTTGCCAGAGGTGCCCAAAATGTTGGAATCTGAAAGTTCTCCAATGTCCTGCCTGGAGGGCCTAACCTTCATTAGGGTTCTAGGAGTCCAACAGGCAAAGGGCTGAGGGGCTAACTGCATTTACTTAACTCCTTTTTGTTTCCCCAGTGAAATTACTCCTTTTTGCCCTCAGCTATCCAGGGATCTTCTGTCCTAGGCTTTAGTCTCCTACAGGGCACCTCCATATTCTGAGTAGAAGGGGCATTATAGGAGACTAGAGCCTAGAAGAGAGACCTGAGGATTTAATCAGAACTCCTTATGAAGATTTCCCACCATCTCCCCTGTGTTCAGCCCACTCTGCATCATGGTCTTCAGATGTCCCTATTGCCTCTGATGTCCTATTTCTATCTTTGAGAAACATTTTGTATATGTAGAAGCTATCTAATCCTTGAAGGTTCAGATAAAACATTTTAAAAAACTATTTGTTCCTGGTGTTTATTTTTCTTTGCATTATAGAAAAATTTTCAAACACAACAAAAGTAAAATAAATGATGATGACCCTATTAACTTAAAAATCACATAATCTATGCGTTTAGAGAGAAGTATTTCTTGTAAAGGGTTACAGGCTGCAAGGTGGCCATGTTACAGGCTGGGAACCACAGCCTTAGGGTAGATCAGAGATGGGCACTTCGAAAGAAGAGGGGTAATGACTGGGTTGGCCAAACATTCATATTCAATAGGTTACAGGAGGATCTATGAATATTCATGAAGGTGGTCCTGATACATGTGTATTGAACAAACATGCATATTACACATGCCCATATTCACCTTGGGATGGGGCCGTTACATTTAAATGTATTACATTAGGCATTATACATTAGAATATCTTTGTAGGAGTTCAAGTGCACAGCCTCTGTAAACTGACCAGAACCAGTCCATGGTTCATGATCTTATCAGGAGAAAGTTACTGAAGTTAGTCTTTTGTCCAATCAAAGCTATAGTTATGGCTTATGGAGCAGGGGGTTGGTTAGTCAGCGTCTGCTGGTAGATGTGCTGCGAATTGTTCTAATATTGCTTGTCTCAAGGCCAGTGCTTGTTTAGCTGCTAGAGGAAAAGAAAAACCTTGTGGCAGTTAGGACACAGCTATTCTTCAAGTGTAGGTGTGCATGACTTAACCTTTGCCTGGCCTGGCTTTAGGTCTTGTTTATAGTTTGGTACCTTATTGCCACAAAGGATCTGTTCTGTTAGTCTTATTCTCAATTTTAACATACATGCTGATCAGTTATGTCTACACTGCAAAAAGGAGAGAATATAACAAGGTGTGTCTGACCTCCTATCCTGTCTTGGCCAGGATTTCGGTTTTTAATATATGCCTGGGATCCCGTTGGCCAAGAGGGAGTCCATTCAGTTGGTGGGGAGGCTTAGGATTTTATTTTTAGTTTACAACTCTTTTTTTTTTCAAATCTTTTGTAGCATAACTTCAATAATTATCAATATATGACTGATTGTGGTGCCTTTCCTACAATCATTTCAATTGTTATTGGTTAATTTAGGTTTTCTAATTTTTTTAAAGTCAATTTTGATACTTCTATTACTTTTGTAGTGAAGTATCCATTTATTAGCCTTGTGGCTAAGGGTTATAGTTCCAGAAACAGATTGTCTGGTTTTGTTTTTCCATGTGGGTAGTCATTTAAGCTCTCTGTGTCTGGGTTTCCTCATTTGTAAAATGGGAATAGTAATGTTATTTATTTCATAGGATTGTTGAGAAGATTCAATTAAATCATATATGCAAAGCACTTAAAATAGTATCTGGCACATAGCAATGTAATTGTTATTGTTTAAGTTTTATTGTTATTATTTAAGTTTTAAAATTGGCATGAATTTTTTAACGGAATTATAATTTTTAAATTCCCAACTATATTTTAAGTTATGTCCCTTTTTCATTCCTAGTGTTGTTTACTTAAAATTCTTCTTTTCTTCTGATTGATCTTACATAGAATGCCTTTGTTTTTTCTTTTTTTTCTTTTTCATAGAGACAGAGTCTCACTCTGTCACCCAGGCTATAATGCAGTGGCACAATCATATATGGCTCACTGCAGCCTCAAACTTCTGGACTCATATGATCCTCCCACATCAGCCTCCCAAGTAGCTTAGGACTACAGCACACCATCACACCTGGTGCATATTTATATATACACACACATATATATATTTATAAAATATGTATCTAATATAGATATACACATATATCTAACAAGATATATATATGTGTGTGTATTATAGAGATGAAGTCTCATTATGTTGCTCAGGCTGGTCGTGAACTCCTGGCCTCAAGCAATCCTTCTGCCTTGGCCTCCCAAAGTGGAGGGATTATAGGTGTGAGCCACCACACCTGGCTCGACTGCCTATCTTAATAATCTTTTTTTTTCTTTTTTTTTGAGACGCAGTACCGCAGTCCTCGCTCTGTCCCGCCCAGGCATGGAGTGCAGTGGCCGGCGATCTGGGCCTCATGCAAAGCTCCCCGCCCTCCGGGTTCACGCAATTCATCCTCTGCCTCAGCCTCCGAGTAGCTGGGGACTAAGGCCGCCCGCACACCTGCCCGGCTAGTTTTTTGTATTCTTTTAGTAGAGACGGGGTTTCACCATCGTTAGCCAGGAATGGTCCCCCCGATCTCCTGACCTTGGACCGCCATCTCGGCCTCCCAAAGTGCTTGGGATATACAGGTTTGTAGCCACTGCGCCCTACGCGTATCTTAATAATCTTTTAAAAGTAATTGCTTCCTTTCCTTGTTCCTCTAAGTATGCTGCATCCACAAGTTTCAATATGTTGTATTTAATAATGTTTGAAGTTCTAAATATTAATAATTTCTATATGTGTGGTTTCTTGTTAAACCCATGATAGAAATTACGTATATATACAAGTAGTATATTATTAAAACTAATTTTGAATGATGTTTATAATAGGAAAGCCACAATATACCAATTTGGCTTATTATGATATACATAGAAGCGATAATGAAAATTTATCTTTTCTGAGGCTTTTCTGTGACCTAAGTATATGTGCGTCTTTGTAAAATGGTGTCCAGTTTTACTGAAAGGAAGTGTGTTTTCATGGTTTGAAATATTCTTCAATTTGTTTATATGTCCTTTTTTTTTTTCTTTTTTATAGACAGAGTCTTGCTTCCTGTTGCCCAGGCCCTGGTGTGCAGTGGTGCAATCTCAGCTCATTGCAAAGTCCACCTACGGGTTCAAGAGATTCTCTTGCTCAGCCTCCCCTAGCAACTGGGATTATAGGCGCATGCCACCACACCTGGCTAATTTTTTATTTTTAGTAGAGATGGAGTTTCAGTATGTTGGCCAGGCTGGTCTTGAACTCCTGATTTCAGGTGACCCACCCGCCTCAGCCTCTAAAGTGCTGGTGATTACAGTTGTGAGTCACCACACCCGGCATATATGTCCTTTTGTCTTAGTTTTTTATCCTGT